CAGCACTGCCTTGGCAGAGCCCACTCCCTACCCTAACCTGCCCACCCTCCCTATCCCCCAGCATTAGGTTGATACTGTGGGGAAGTGCTGGGGGTTGGGAGGTAGCCGAGGAATGGGGCAGTTCCCGGGGGCATCGAAACCAAGTATTATTATGAATTGTAATTGTATTTGCACTGTTTTTTTTTCCTCTGATTGCATCAGCATATATACAATATACCTATATAACAAAATTCAGTGTCAAGCTTTCTTATGCAAGGGATTTCCCCCACCCCACCTCCTCAAAAAGGAAAGAACCTAGTCTTACGGGCCTTTGAGGGTGGATTGTCAGGGGATGATAGAAAGGATTTTAATAAGTCATCCTGAGGAAATTTCACCTAGTGAGAGCCACATCCATCTGCACAGTCTTAGGCTGTGTGAACTGAGGTGAGGCTGAGCTCCTGTGAAAGCCATGACCTCCTGGTCCCGGACTGTGTAGAGTAAAAAGAACCACCAACACAAAAGGGGTTGAGGGGGCTGCAATCTGGAGACCTGGGGTCTCCTTCTAACTTGCTATGTGATCTTTGGTAGTTAGTTTTCTGGGTCTCAATTTTCTTATCTGTGAAGTGAAGCGGGAGATCATCTGGTCACCAAGTTTAAAATTCTGTACTTCTTTCCTCACCTGCCAAAGCCAAAAAACAACTTGAGGTGAGGAAAGTGTTGAGCCAAGAAACCAGGGAGGAACTGAAAGTGACTCGTGTTGAAGTGGTTATGTGTATGACAGTGCCCTTGGAGAGCTGCCAGTCCTCTACGGTTACCCTTGATTTGGGAGAGGCAGCAGAGTCTTGTCCAGGGTGTCAGACCAGTGACATCTTTGCCTTTATGCCTCTAGTCATCTGAGGGCAGGGACCAGGCCTCAAGCCCCATCTCACAGCCAACCACAGAGCCCTTAAGGGTGGTTGACAACTGAATGCCCCAGGTTGGTGCTCTTAGTTATTTACTCCCTTCGTGAGCTACAGGATATGGAACTTCCCCATCTTGGTGATAAAATAGGAGAGCGCAGACACAGCCCACATTTTGTCTCCTTCCCTCAGATTTCATCTGAACCCCCCTAAAGGCAGCTGTTTCACAGTCTGTCTCCTTCAGGGGCCCAATTTCCCCACAGCCTGGGCTGAGTACTCCTACTCTCTTCTTTAGGTTCTGGGCTGATAAAGCCTGGAGAGGGTACAGGGTGATGGGTGAAGCCCTGGTGAAGGTGGAAGGATAGATTGGGGTTGGGGGGTGGGGAGCAGGGAGGTGGGATGGGGAATGGCCTTCCCTGAATAGGGTGGGTGGGAGGGGAACAAGACCCTTTTGCACAACTCTCTTTAAGTTTCCTTTATTTCTTTTTTAACTCATTCTGATTTTCTGCATTGTGTTTGGGAAATAAAATGAAAAAACTAAGACCAATAGAAACTGGTTTTCAAAAAGGCAAATACACTCCCATCTGTTTCAGATGCTGCTGAGCATTTCAGCAGTGACAGATTCAAATAATAAGCTAATTTTTGGAGAAAGGATTAAAAGAAAAAAAAACTTTGTAATATTTATCACTTGCAAGCTATGTTTAATAAAGAAAGGAATGGTTTCTAAAGTTTCCTGTGGCTTGTGCTTTCGTTATGGGGCTGGGGGTGGCAGTTTGGTGGGATAATTTTTGGGGTAATTGGGAGATGAGCTATGGCTGTCTTCCCTAGTGAGTCCAGCCATGGACTGAGTGCTTTTGGTTTGTATCCTTCTCTTTGATAGTGATGATTATTTAAAGCCCTGACCTACTTCTGTGTTCTTGTTCCCCTCCAACTCTAGCTGGAGCCAGTGTTCTGGAAGCCACCAACCCCACGTTAGTTATCTGATGACTTCAGGTCTAATGGTATCATGGGGAGAGGGCTGGGTCTCCATTCTCTCCTAGGGAAAGGTGTCCCCTAGCAGTCCTTGGCCCTTTCCACCACACTGCTCTGGTCTCTAGTAACAGAATCCTTTAGTCAGGCACAGTGCTGCATGTCTATAGCTACTCAGGAGGCTAAGGGGGGAGGATCACTTGAGCCAGGAGATCAGCCTAGGCAATGTAGTGAGACCCCATCTCTATAAAAGAAAAGAAATATTTTGCAACATGCTTGTTCGTCTAGATGGTTGCCACATACCAGCAGGGGCTCACATTGCTGTTTTCTTTTTTTTTTTTTTTTTTTTTGAGGCGGAGTCTTCACTCTGTCGCCAGGCTGGAGTGCAGTGGCACCATCTCAGCTCACTGCAAGCTCCGCCTCCTGGGTTCGCGCCATTCTCCTGCCTCAGCCTCCCGAGTAGCTGGGACTACAGGCGCCCGCCACCGCACCCGGCTAATTTTTTTTTTTGTATTTTAGTAGAGACGGGGTTTCACCGTGTTAGCCAGGATGGTCTCGATCACCTGACCTCGTGATCCGCCCATCTCGGCCTCCCAAAGTGCAGGGATTACAGGCGTGAGCCACCGCGCCCGGCCCACATTGCTGTTTTCTAGCAAACTACGTAATATAGTTATTTAACAATCTGAATACAACATCCCCTGAAAGATCTGGAACTGCACTTTCTCACCATCTCATCACTCCCCGTCCCCAAGTTTTTCTTTCAGCCGAAAGCATTAACCAGATCCTAATTTATTTTTTCTGTTTTGGTTATTTATTTCCAACAAAGCAGTTAGACCAGGCCCAACCAGAGAAGAGGATGTCATTTCCTCAAAGACTTGACGTTTGGGGCTATTCTTAGCCCTCTTGCTCCTCAGCCACATTTTTTAGTTACAATTGCTGCTGTGCCTTGTGCAGAGGGCGCTATTGTGGAGGGCCGGAGCCCAGCCTTTCATGAGTCTTGTTGTCATTGGTACTAGCATTACTCTAGAAGAGCACAGGAGACAGTTTTGGGTTCCTCTAAGCCATGGACTTTCCTTCCCTCAAGACCCTTCCCTTTTTGGCACAATACTGGACAGCCTTGGAGAGAGAGATTGAGGGAGTGGCTAGGGCTTTGGCTTTAGAGCATGGCACAGCTGGATGAGGAGGGACTATGGTGCCCTGGATGCCATAGGCTGGTAGAGGGAGAAGTGGGAAAGAAGTGCTCTTTGGACCCCCAAGAGTTGATGGAAGGGAGATGGGGGATGCTCCCCAGCCTCTATGCTCATTCTACAGGCGATTGAAGACTGCCAAAACCCTGACTCAAACTAATTTCTTTCAAAAATAGAAATCAAATGGGTAAGGATGCCCCCTGAGGAGGAGCCAGGGCTTTGGATCTGGGAAGGGGGAAATGGGTATTTGGTTGCTCAGAGAAGCTCATATGAGCTCAGATATTTAAGACTCTTATGTTGTAGGGAGAAGGGGGGCAAGGAACTCAGCACCCCTTTTGCCCACCTGCCCACTTGGACCACAGGGAATGCAGGTCACCTGTCCCTGGGCAGAGCTCAGCTTGGGCACGAGGAGACTGAGATTTTAGACTGGAGGGCTTCAGGTTGTGAGACGGAGATGATGACAGCCTCTTCCCCTGCCCCCACTTTGTGGGGAACTCTTAAAGCTATGTGTCTTTGGGCAGGTTCATATTTGGATCAAGAAGAGGTGAATATATTGGATGGGGTTATGAGGCAGGAGTAACTGGGTTGGGAGTAACTCCCAGCTGGGCTTGGTTTAGTTTGAGGTTATTTGGTGTGTTGGGGGAAGGGATTCTGATTCTCCCATTTCTTGAGGTCGGGGAGGAACACAGAAACCACACCCTCTTCTCTCCCGCTATGGCCAGTCCTGCCCCTCCCTGGAGAGGGGCTGAGGGACTTCTGGTTCTTTCCTGACTCCGGGGTGACAGGGACAGGTGAGGCAGATTCTTTGGTGTATCCGGAGTTAGTGGCATCTCGGAGGGAGCCAACTTGAAGGGCCCTAGGCCAAGGCCAGCTGTTCCACGGTCACCTGAGGGTGAAGGAGGTCAGGCCCCTGGAACAAGGCCTCAAACACGCCAGCTTCCCCCACTCATTTCCCGTCACTGAATCCCCCTCACCTGGGTGGTGAGTTCAGTCTTCTCCCCCGGCTTCCCTCCACTCTGAATCTGGCCTTGACGGCCCCCAGCTCTGTCCAAGGCAGTCCGAGGCATTCCCCAGCATTCCTGGGACCCCTGTTTGCAGAGGAGGCTGCCAGGATAGGAAGGGTCAGCAGCATAGTCTGTCTGGTGCCTCCCTCTTCCTCGCATGACTCCAAACCCCTCCTCCTCCTCCATGCTCCCCAGAGATGGAGAAGGGTGGACCCCTCCTCATGTTGCAGGATGGCAGGGAACTGGCTCTAGCTCATTTCTGCTGCCCTTGTCCTTTGCCTTGGGAGCTCCAGTCCTCTCTTCCCGCTCATGGCAGGCCTTCTCCTGCCCCTGGAACCACACAGCTCTGAAAAGAATTGGCTTCCCCTCTCTGCCTGAGTCTCCTCACTAGCAAAATTGATTGGTTGTGGATTGGGGCTCTTTCCTGCTCTCTTTGGTCCTGTGCCACAGTGACGCAGACTGTCTTCCTGGCAGATTTCCCACATTAGCCCTTACCTGGCCCTTACCTATGTCTCCAGCCCAGGAAGAGGCAGAGGAGGCAAACGATGAGGGCAGCCAGGCCCACGTGGATGCCCACCACAACCCCAGGCAGTGGGCTGCTCTCACCCTGGCTGCAAGAGCACCCAGCCTTGGACTCTGGACACTGTGCCATCTGTCAGAGAGAGGACCAGGGTTGGAGGTGAAGCTCAGCCCTCCTCCTCCCTGAAGACTTGGCAGCCATGGGGGCCTGCTCTGACCCCAGCCCTACTACCCTCCTACCAGACCCCACTTACCTGGAGTGGCTAGGGGCACATCACACAATGAGACAAAGCGGGCACTGCTATTTCCATCCCCGTTGCCATTGAATGCCTGCAGCTTGATCTCATAGAGGGCTGCTGGTTCTGCAGGAAGCAGGAGAATGTGAAGGGGATGGGCATTTATGGGCCAGGAAGCTCAGTACCTGGGGCAAGATCACACTGAGAAGGGCGGGCCTTGAGTGTCACAAGAAGGTTCAGATCCTCACCCAGGTCTGTGTAGAGAAAGGATCTGACACTGCTGGCCAGGAGCAGGAGCCCCTCAAAATGGGCAGCAGGCAGCTTGCGGTGAAAGAGTTTGAAGCCTTGGATGGGTCCCAGCTGTGGTGGCAGCTCCCAGGAGGCCTGCACAGAGGTGGCATTGAGCACTTTGGTGGAGAAGCCCAGGGCAGCAGGGGCTACAGAGGAAAACAAGCAAACTGGTTGGCAGTCCCTGCCCACCTGAGGCCAGGGACTTCCCAAGGCTAGAGAGGCTGTCACTCACTGCTGCCCATGGTGGAGGCAAAGACGGGGGCAGAGTCCTGACTGGCACCCTCTGCTGAGTAGGCCCGCAAATGGATGGTGTAGGCTGTGGCAGGCTCCAGGTTGGATAAGACGTGCTCAGAGGTGCCTTTGCTCACAGCCTCTTGGAGCTCCGGGCCAGATGGCTCTGAGGAGCAGAACAGCATCTTCTCAGTAGTCATGTCCTTGCTCCCTCACAAACTGGGGACGAAGCCCCCTCCTGGTGCCTGTCTGGACCAGCCAAGCCTCCAAGGAGAGCAGGGAAAGAGGCTGCAGAAGTTGGAGCTAAGCTGAGAAAGGATGAGGATGAGGAAAGGGCCTAGAGTCAAGCTGAAAAGCAATAAGGAAGCACCAAAAGACCATGTACAGAGGCAGCCAGCCCAGAGAACCACAGGCCCAGAGGCCTAGGAAGAATCCGGAAGGGTCTGGGGTCATGGAGGAGACTGGGACCCAGAGAGTGAGAGGGACTCGCCTAGGACATCAGCAGTCAGGAGCAGAGGTGGGCTGGCGCTGGGGACTCCTGGCTCCTGGCCCTGCTCTGAGCTCAAAGCCCTGTCCACCCACCCACACCCACCTCCCACAGGCCGGAGGTGCAGCACATAGCCAGTGATGTCCCCGCTGGAGGGGGGTGGCTCCCAGGACACTTGAATGGCAGAAGTAGAGAGAGCCATGGCATGCAGGCCCCTGGGGACAGGGTGTGACTCTGGGCCCCCTTTCACAGCCAGGCGGGCACTGGCCTGATTGGAGCCTGCACTGTTCTCTGCTATGCATTGATAGATGGCCTCATCCTCGACTGAAATGCCTGCCAGCATCAGCGTGCTAGAGAAAGACAAACTCAGCTGCTGGGAGCCCTTTCCCACCAAGCCATGGTGGAGTGGCCCTAGAGGAGGAGGCTGTGTGGGGGCATTACCTGTAATGGAGAAGTCAGGGCAGAGCCTCCTGGGGGAAGGGGGAATTGCTGGAAGTAGAAGGTAACTTGCTGGCGGTTTGTGGATGGGTGTGGATTTTTGAGATTTAGGTAGTGAGTGTTGCATGTAGGTGGGGGTGGACGCCCAGGGTGGGTAGGGGGACATACCATTGCCAGTGGCCAGTGGGGAGTGGTAAGACACGAGTACCTATTGTTGTGGGTCAGCCTGATGTTATCCCCAGGACTCAGCACCTTCCCATTCTTCAGCCAGACCAGATGGGGCTCAGGGACGCCCTGGGCCACGCAGGTGAAGATGGCACTGCTGCCCGGAGGCTTGGACAAGGACTGTGGCCATTGGACAAACTCAGGGGGAGCTGGGCAGGCAATAGCACAGAGGAAGACGCCATGAGACCCGGCCTCTTGCCTCCTGCCCTGGACCCTCTCCAGATCTAGGCTCCTGTCAGGGAGCTGGGGTCCCCCAGCACTCTCCCCACCCAGTCGGGCCCTTGGGGCTCACCCTGCACGAGCAGGACGCCCTGTGCTGTGCGCTGGACGTGGGTGCCCGGCCGATTGGCAGCGCAGACATAGACACCTGAGTGCTGGACTGACACGTCGGAGATCATGAGATTCCTGGTGCCCAGAACTTGGATGCCCTCCACGCCGATGGAGCGGCCATCTGCAAGAAGGCGTTGGGGGGGTCAGGTTGGGATAGGACAAGGGCACGGGGCTCTGAGAGATGGGGCGGGGCAGCTGCACACCCAGGTGGCTCCAGGAGGCAAGCGGCCGAGGGTGACCCGTGGCGATACACTCCAGCACTGCCGTCTGGTGCACTGTGAGGGTCAGGTTCTGAGGCCCGGACAGGATCTCCGGCTCCTGCAGCAGCCTCGGGGGTCCCACTGTGTGGTGGAAACAAGCAAATCGGATCAGGAAAGGAGAACCTCCTTCCAGTACTCAACTTCTACTCCAAGCACACTCTTCCAGCCCACAAATGTCACCAGACCTCAGAGGTGTGCTTTGCAGCTGCTATTCCATCTCCAACTTACAGATTTTTAAAATGACCTGCCCAAAGTCCCATGGCAGTAGCTATCAGGCCGAAGGTCTGGTAGACTGGGGGTGGGGAGAGAGGACAGTGAGCATTCTTCTCCTACAAACCCTGTGGGTGGCCCCACCTTCCCTGGGCGCCTCACCCTGAGGGGCAGGTAGAGGCACCCACAAAGTTAGTAGGAGGCCTTCTCTCAGCATGACCAGCCTCCTAAGACCTCTCAGCCTGCTTAGCTGCTCAGGAGGGATGTAAGTATTTTCCGAAAGTAACTCTTGTTTTGGGTCTAAATCACATCTTCATTTTATACCATGCTCCCCCGTTTCATTAGTTTATTCAACAGATCATCACTGGGGGCTCCCATGTGCCAGGCATTGCCCTCAAACTGGGAGCAGGGTTGTGAACAACATCGTGTTAAACAGAGCTCTGCTTTCCCGTAGGCCATCATCCCCATTTTCTTTATTACCTTGTATCATGTGAGGCCTTCACGTGTCTTTAACCTTTCATAAATGCCCTTTATTAAGAATGTCTCAGATAAAATGTGTTTCTAAAATGAAAGTCTCTCAAGGGCTGGTCTAAAGTCTTACACATCTTTAATTATCCCTCAAGGTATAGAATTGTGTTCATTCATTTTTTCAGCAACTATAGATTGAAGGCCTACTTTGGGCCCTGCCTTTCTCCATTTGCCTCTTGCAAGCTGCAGTACAGGCTGTAGGCTGCCCTGGAATCTCCTGGCCTCATGCAAAGAGGCTGTGTCCTGCCTGGCCAGACAGTTCAGTGAGGGGAGGCTGGGTCACGCGGGCCGACCCCTTCCCCATGCCAGTCATTGGCTGTGAGCCCCACACATTGTCCCATTTTGCCCTTACCACAGCCTGTGAGCTGAGTACTGTTATTTCCCCCATTTACATGAGAAGATCAAGGATCAGAGAGGTTGAGTAACTTGCCCAATGACAGAGGGACTGGCAGAACTGGGGGACTCCCTGGATCTCGGTAGCACTGAACAGCTGACAACGAGCTTCCCCTCTTTAGCCACTGTGTCCTTGAAGTCTGGGAAATTCTGTCTCACCCTGGTGCATGCCCAGGGTAAGTGCCTGCCCAGGTGTGTGCAGTTGAGTGCGTTAGGGGTGAATGACTTGGGGCCTTGGTCCCCAGCTTCTGCCCCTGAGGAAGACTACTCTGACACCAGCTCCTTTAGGCAACCCTTGAGCCTTCAGTTTTTAGTTGGTCCTCTGCCCCCAACAGACACCTGCTCCTCCTGCTAACCTCCTGTCGCTCTCCAGCCATTCGTCTCCCTGCTCCACAGGCAGCAGAATCCTATGTTTGCCGGATAGCCTTGAAAGACATGGCCTCCTGCCCTGCCCTCCTGCCCCAGACTGTGGATAGGAACGGGAGCCACAGGCCAGAGGGACCCCACCGGGCTCCTCTCTGCTCCTGCAGAAGAGCTGCTGACCCCCACCCTTGCTTCTAGTTTCTAAGTCAGTTACAGATCAGAAACACAACCGTTCCCCCTTCCCCTGACAGTCTTCAGTTTAAAAATTATATACCAGCCGGGCACGGTGGCTCATGCCTGTAATCCCAGCACTTTGGTAGGCTGAGGCGGGCGGATCACTAGGTCGAAAGATTGAGACCATCCTGGCCAACATGGTGAAACCCTGTCTCTACTAAAAGTACAAAAATTAGCCGGGCGCGGCGGCGGGTGCCTGTAATCCCAGCTACGCGGGAGGCTGAGGCAGGAGAATCGCTTGAACCCGGGAGGCAGAGGTTGCACTGAGCCGAGATGGCGCCACTGAACTCCAGCCTGGCGAAGGAGTGAGACCCCGTCTCAGAAACAAACAAACAAACAAAAAAACAAAAACAAACAAACAAACAAAAAAAGATACAGCCTTCGGTGAAATTTTGTCGGAGATGTTTTGAAAGTTCGTCCAGGCGCGGCAGTGGTGCCCGGTGGTACACTTGCTTATTTATACCCTGGAGCCCCCTAGTGGCCGATTCAGGCATGACTGTCCCTCACAAACACCTGTGGCATCTCCAGTTTAGGCCGGGTCTAACCTGCCTCTCCTGCTAGGCACCAGCCCCTCATAGGCTCTGCTGTGGCCTTCACTTTGGGCACAAAACTGTCCCACCCCACTTGGCCTGCAAGTGAGGTCACCCTGGGTGTTTCATCTCAGGTACAAAGCTATTTTCATCCTCACCCCAAGGAGACATGCAAATGTCCATGCACACATGCACATGTACATGCAAGCACAGACACATACACAAACACATGCACATCTACACGCCATGTGTATGAGGGCCATGTGTTCAAGACACAGGCTGACTCAGCCCCAACGCTAGACCCTCCAGAGCTCCCATTGCCCTCTGGATCAAGTCCAAACTATTTTCCTGATATGCCTTGCCTACCCACCAACATTAACTTTGCTACCCTGAATTCTGCCCATTCTGTGGTCCAGCAACACAGAACTGCCTGTGTGAGCTTTGTTGTTCTCCCTTGTGCATTTGTTCGAGGAAATGCCCCGCCCTGCCCTCCTGACCTTGGCTTGCCTCTCTCCACTCACCCTTCAACATCCAGCTTGGGGTAGCTTACTCCAGAAGCCCCTGACAATCCTTGCCCACAGCCTAACCCTAGGTTCCCACAGAACCACCTTCTCTCTCAGGTCGTGAGCTCCAGGAAGCCAGGGATGGCTCAAGCCTGCTGCCCTCCCACACCTGGCACAGTGCTTAACATGTCATAGATGCTCAAAATGCCTGCCTGTCCCATGTATAACCACAGCAACCATACCCTCCTCTCTGCCCAGTGCCCACACTGGGCATGGCTTACCGCTCAGCGTCAGCTGGGCATCCTGGCTGTGGCGGGTACTGGCCATATTCCGTGCCACGCAGCAGTAGGTTCCCACGTCCGCCTGGCTCACACTGGTGATGTGGAGGATGCCACTAGGCAGCAGTGTGATCCTGAGGATGCACAGGTCAGGGCTCCATGGCCTGTGCCCTGGCTCACAGCCCGCCGTCCCATTGCACTGCTGGCAGGTGCTCACCGGTGGTTGGCAGTATTCAGGGCTGTGCCATTGTGCTCCCAGGAAATGGATGGTTCAGGCACCCCCTGGATCAGGCACTGGAAACGAGCAACTCCACCCCGCTCCACCTCAACCGATTCTGGATGTTGGTGGAAGTGGGACAGACCTAGAGGATGGGGGGAGGCGGTTGGGCACCTGAAGAGCTGGCCCTGGGCTATCCCCCCACAACCAAGTCCCAGGGCTGGGCCCCACCTCTATGCCCACATCTGCCACTTCCTCTTCAGTATGGAGCCCTGCAGCCTCATGTCTAGGACTTCTGTGGGCTATAAGCACTTTGCCTTCCTCCATTACAAAAATTTTAAATCATAGTTTACAATGGCATTGGAATATAGACAAATATAATCCATTCTGGACTCATTTTTGCATATTTATTATTATATTCATTTTTTCTTCTGGTTCTGAGGAAGTTAAAACATTTTTGTGGGCCCCTAAAAGAATCAGAGGCTCTACCAGTGTGTACACTGTGTCTAATGGCTGGGCTGGCCCTGCTCAGGCCCACTCTCAGCGACTCTGGACCCCATGGGTGCCTTCTGTGGGTGCCCCACGCACTTTCATCCCCCAATCCCAGGAGCAGCCCTGTCACTTACTTGCCAGCTGTACCCGGGCCCGTCGGCTCACCAGCCGCCCGTAGCGGTTCTGGGTCACGCAGTGGTACTCGTGGGCACTGGAAAGGAGGCTCCAGCGGGAAGGCAGGGCAGCCAGGTGCAGGGAGCCATCTGGCATCAGGGTGGCACCGCTGTCATTGGCTAAGGCCAGCCCATCCCGCTGCCAAGAAATGGACACAGGCGGCTCACCCTCCACTTGGCAGGGCAGCACCAGTGGGTGCTCCCACACAGCCACTGTGTCCCCCGGCTCCTGCACAAAGGCCAGCTCGGAGCCTGCAGCACGGCCTGTAGGGACAGCCAGCACAGCCTGGACACGGCAGTCCCCTGTGGGCCACCCTCTGACCACCACCTCCCCCACGGCTTTGACTCCCTCCCAGCTTTGGCAAGGGGCAAGGGACAGGACTTGACTTTAGGGAGACTTTGGGGCAGCAAAGGAGAAACAGGGAAGAGAGGGCAGGGCCCGGCCATCTGAGGAGCACGGGGGGCCACTGGCCGGCTGGCGGGTGCGGTGTGGGCCTGGCAGGCCAGCTGTGATTGATGGCCTCTTTCAGCGGGGCCCTGGCAACGGGGAGGGGGCGGTGTGGGCAGAATGGTGAGGTCAGGGGCTGAGGCGTGGGCATTGTGCTCCCCAGGGGACAATGGGATTGCCCCCTCCCTCCCCTGCCGGCCCATCGGCCTGTCTGCCTGCAGGGTCAGCTTCCCAGGACTCCTGGCTCTCTTCTTTCCCCCTCCTGCCACCAGGACCCTGGCCTCTGAATAGGGAAGAAACACACTTACACTCACACACACTCATTCACGGACACAGACACGCTCAGATTAAAAATCACAACCTCACTGGCCACCAGGTCTTCTAGATACAGACAGATTCCATCCCAGACACACACTCAAGGAGGCCCCAAACACAGGTAACACGTAGATGTCCCTACAGACTCAAAGTCACAAATACATAAGCACAGGGCCACAGACACTAATGGCACAGGCCCAAAAATGCACGAGCAGAGCTGTGAACCCACATACACAGCCCCCTTCCCACACACCCCCATCAATACAATAACTCAGCCTGTGAGGCTGAGCCAGGACCCCCGGCAGATGGGGTGGACGGGCGGGCAGACAGAGCCTCCGAGGGGCACATGGGCAGGGGGCTGAGCCAGCCTCGGTTGGCTCAGGGACATCTGTGCGGAAGCCTCTGGGGCCCTGCCTCTGTATGCCCCGCAGTCTGCTCAGCCACTTGCCTCATGTGGACCCCAGGTCCCCTTCTGGCCACTGCGCCCCAAAGCCTGGGCTCCTAGAGCCCCCCATGGCTCTTCTGCAGCCCTGCCTGCCCCTCCTAAGGGCTCAC